TCTCTTTAGAGTTGCGTAGAATACCTCCCGCAGCCACCATATTGTCACACGTTCTAACAGCCCCATTCGAGTTCCCCTTAATCCAATCGATGGGAGGTCGAGTTCCCCGTAAAAATATTTTTAACTAAATATTGAAGATATAATTGTATTGTAATAAAACCATGTTTAATATGTGTATGTATGATATAAAACTGTATAACATCTGCGGTAATGATTGGTATATACATAAAATTAAAAGTATATTAATTTTACTAATTTAACCATATAGATATAATTAATTTATCTTCATGTCAAACATGTATAAATTACATATAATATATGATTAATGATTTATTTAAAGATATTATATATTATTTTTAAATTGTGACATTATAATTAAATGAATTAACATTGTTTGTTGACATAATTTACCATATCAAAACGATGTCGTTTTGGTATGATTGTTCTGATGCCTAAAATGACTTTGTTTTAGACACTGAACTTTATAAGTGATCGATTTTACAATTGAATTTTAAAACAAATTTATTTTTTAGCATTGTACTTTCCAACCGTCATCGGTAATCAATTACCGCTCGTCATCGATTTTATTTCACGGTAAGATTGGTACTGAAACATTTATATTTCACACATCTTTCTTTTGATAAGATTAATTTTTCATGAAATTCACTCGAAATCGACGAAAATTCATTTAAATGTTCGACGTATTAATATTTCGAACTATTTCATTGGTCGTCTGATGATACTATATTGTTCGTTTTCTTGAAATAATATTTTTCACCATTCATATTTATGAACAAACATCCCAAATGGCGTAAGTTTAAGAAAGTCTCAAAACATCTAAAAATGATAGATTTTTTTGTTTATTATCGATTTTGAGTGAATTTCATGAAAAATTAATCAAATGAGAAGAATAAGTTATGAAATACAAATATATTAGTATCGATTTTATCATAAAAGACGATTAATGACAAATGATAATTAGATGCCAACTATGATCGAAAAATATAATATTAAAAAATATTTAAAATTCTAATAACAAAATCGATATACCAAGTTCAATAGAATATTAGAATAAGAAATAAAATACGAACATTTCTATTTTTCAAGTTTTAATTTTGTGCGTCGACTCTTTATATCTAAATAATTTTTATTTAGCTATATTACTAACCTATCCCTATTTTTTAAATCTTTTATCTATATTTTAAATCCTTATATTAGACATTTATCGATAAATACTTATAATTATTGAAGTTAATTCATAATTAAATTATAGTAATGATCATTTATTATATTAATGTGTACATTTTCATCGCCGATAATGGTTAGGGGTAGGGATGGGCATTTAAACCCGACCCGACCCAACCCGATGGGGTCGGATTTTCTAAAAATATTTGGGGTTCGAGTTTAGGGTGAAAAAAATCCGACCCGGCCCGACCCGAAAAAATATATAATTTTACCCTATATATTTAGGGATAATTACAATAATATCCCTCTATATATAATTTTTTTCAATTAAGTCACTATTTTTATTGAATAAAATATTTTTTTATTATTTCGGGTCGGGTCGGGTTTTGATGTCATATATTCGGGTCGGGTCGGATCGGGTGAAATCTTATTTTAGTCGGGTCGGGTCTCGGCTGGAGACTCTCTTGTTCTCGGCTGGAGACTCTTGTTCTCGGTGGAGACTCTCTTGTTCTCGGGTCGGGTCGAGTGGACCAAAAACCGACCCAACCCGACCCATGCCCATCCCTAGTTAGGGGTTAGCATTCGATTGAGTCAAGTCTAGTAAAATAATTTAAAGTTATTCGAGTTGACAAGTCCTATTTTATAACTCGGATTTGATTTGAAATATTTTAGAGTCGAATCAGTTTTATAAAATTCGAGTCTAGTCGAGTCAAATTTTCGAGTTTCTGTTTAAATTTAATTATAAATATTTATAATATTATAAAATTATTTAATTATAATTTAAATGATATTTTAGAATCATATACAACATATATATGTATATATATATTTTTATATTTTTTTATATGTGATTTACATATACCATATAAAGTCGAGGGACTCAACTCAAACTTCAACTTAAACTTGAAAAATCAATATATTAATTACTAAAAATTTCAAGTTATTCGAGTTGTATTTTACAACTCGATTTGAATTTGAAAATTTTTAAAGTCGAGTCGAGTTTATAAGATTACAATTCGAACTCAATTCGAGTCGATTCGAGTTTTCCTCACCTCTTATAATGGTGATATATCCTAATAATAGGATATGTTAAATATAAGGCTTAATAAAAAAAAATAAGTGCCTAAAGAATATCTCGAAAAATATTTAGTGTCTAAAGAATTTTTTTATTAAAAATAGATATCTAAAGTTTTATCTATTATATATTTAGATATCTACCATTAAAAAATATTAAATGACATGTCTCATGTCTATATTTTTTAAAATAAAATATTATTTAATATATATATATATTTTAAAAATCTGGGTGTAACATATGTCATTTAACAATTTTTTTAACAATAATAACTTAAAAGTATAACGGAGAAAAATGTATGTACTTATTTTTAGTGAAAATTATTTAAACACTAAAAATTAATTTTGATTATAGTTTAAATATTTATTTTTTAAGTGAACTAAAAAATAAATGACTATCGATGAACTTTCTCCAGGCGCACGTTAGCTGGACTAATGAGACCCCAAGATTGGTTCTTCGTTGCTGATTTTCCTTCCATTTCGATGTTTCTAGTGTTGCGTGGTGGTTTCTGGTAGCGTCTGAGCTTTCAATGGCTTCGAATCTGGATTGGAGAAAGTTATTTGGGGGAATCGAAGAGCAAACCCTCGATTTCTTTCCTCCTGAGAAATTGGAGGGGATTTCTACTGTCAAGCCTCCTGCTGATGTGTTTGACGAGGGGATTGTTGAATGGGGTCACTCGATTGTGGGGTAATTCATTGGAGATGCTTCGAATTTTGGCTCCATGTAGAGGATTACTGAGATTTTGGGGGGGGGGAATTCAACTGTGAAGGTTAGTCTAGCTAGCTCGAATCTCTATATTTTCTCATTCTAATAAAGATATGAGAGATTGGATCCTCAAAGATGGGCCATGGCATGTGCAAAACAAGCCGCTCATTCTTAGGAATTGGGAGCCCAATTTACAAAGGATTGATTTTGATCTTAAGAGCATAACAATCTGGATTCAATTGTATAATATCCATCTCGAGCTTTATACTAGACTAGGTATCAGCTACATTACGAGTGTTGTTGGGTATCCACTCTATATGGATTCCATAATGGCATCCAAGGAGAGACTTGAGTATGCCAAGGTTTGTGTTGAGATAGGGGCTGGTGTTGAGGTACCTGAAATGGTTCAGGTTTTGCTGAGTAATGGTTTGTTGTGAGGGTTAGGGTCCAGGTACCTTGGTTGCCTAAGGTTTGTCTGCATTGCAATACCTTTGGTCATCTATCCAATGTCTGTGCAGAGGCACCAGTTAAGAACAAAGAAACTCAAGTCTGGAGAAGGAAAGTTAATCCTTCTGGGGTTATTGCTAAGGAAAAAGTAGTCTCTGCTGGATCTTCTTCCTGTTATGTTGATCCTAATCTTGATGTTAGTAAATCCTCAAAGGCTAAAGATCTGTAGGGTGGTCCTGCTTCAGTGCTGACTGTAGAGGCCCTCGAGGAGAGTAATCATGTTGCTTCCTTGCCTGGTATTAATCAAGTGGAGTTGGTTAAGGCTGGTGAGTGGTCACATTGTGTGCTTCTGGTGACATGGATGAACAGAGGGTTAGGAATGATGCACCTAGTGGTGATGTTCTGGATCTAGGTGCCCATCATGTTACTGTTGGAGCAGCTGACCCACTGGGAGGGAAAAATAAAGTATCTAATGTCGGCCAGGATAATTCTCATGTTGGTGGAGACTATCATTCTCTGTAGGAATCCATTTTACAGAAAAAGAAAGCTAAAGGGAGGAAAAAGGCCAATGTGGACTCTTCTAATAAATTGGATCAATTGGTAGGTGGTGGAGGTTGTGACACTCGGAAGCCTCGGGTGCTGCTATGGGTGTTGCAGTGCTGCTAAATGAGATTAGAACTAAGAAAATATGGTTGAGAAGGCTAAGGGTAGTGTGACAGGTTCTGGAGTTGGTAATGGTGGTCCCCCATTATTGTATATATGATTATTTTTTTCTGGAATGTGAGGGGCATAAATAATGTGCTCAAACGAGGCAAAATTCTTAAAAGGTTAGAGAATCTAGTGTGGATATCATTTGTTTCATGGAGACTAGAGTTAGGAGCTGTAATGTCTCCAATGTGGTTAGTGCTTTTGTTGATGAGTGGAACTTTGAGGCAAACTATCAATATATTGAAGGTGGTAGACTCTGGATTTTGTGGAATAAGAGGTTGTCCATCTTTGTGATTAGTGGATGTGATCAAGCTCTGTCCATTAGAGGTGATATTTTTGGCCACAATGTTGTTATTACTACCATTTATGGGAGTAACAACAGTTAGGCTAGAAGGGGACTTTGGGATTATATAAAGAGCCTGGAGAGTGAGATTGGCCATCATTCATAGGTGTTGGGTGGTGACTTCAATGTTATTGCTGATGCTCAAGAAAGTTCTGACTATGATTTATTGGGTTCGCACTCTTCAGCTGATATGGAAGTATTCAAGGATTGCCTAGAGGATCTGGAGATGAAGGATCATCATTTTGTAGGGCCTCTCTTTACCTGGTCTAATAAAAAAGATGAGTCCTATTTGGCTAGGATTCTCACTAATTCCCAGTGGCTGCTGGATTTTCCAGATTCATATGTCGAGTTCAAGGCCCCTGAGGCTTTTGACCACTGTCTTGGGTTAATTTGGACCCAGAAAGTGGCACAAGTCCACATGCCTAAACCTTTCAAATTTTCAACTGCTGGACTACACATGAAAACTTCTTGAGCAGTGTGAGGGAGTATTGGCTTATGCAATGAGAGGGTAATGCAATCCAGGTCCTGTTTAACAAGATGAAAATATTGAAGCATGTTTTGAAGGAGTTAAACATGATTCATTTTTCTGATATATCTGCTAGGGTAATTGCTAAGAGGGCAGAACTGGAGTCTGTTCAACTCTCTATCCTATCTAGTGCTAGCCAATTTGGTGTGGAAGAGGAAAATAAGGTCCATGTTGACCTAGTGGATCTTGAAGTGGCTGAGCTTGAGTTCTATAGGCAGAAAACAAAGATACACTGGTTGCAGGAGGGGGATTTGAGTACTAAGTTTTTCCATCAAAATGCTATTCTCTAAAAAAAGAAAAACACTATTAGAGTTATTAAGAGTGAAGATGGACAATGCCATGAAACATTTGATGGTACTACTGCTGAATTAGTGGACTTCTTTAGAAATTTAATTAGTGTTGTTGACAATATAGTCCAAGAGTGTCCTCCTGAGTGTTTGAAGGAACTCTTGAGCTATACTCTGCCTGTTGGTGCAGAGAGGGTTCTGGAGGGTGTGATTTCAGATAGTGAAATTAAAGAGGCCCTATTTAGACAAAGTAATGACAAGAGCCTAGGACCTGATAGGTTCACCTCCTGGTTCTTTAAGGTGGCTTGGGGGATTGTTCATTCTGATTTCCTCAATGCTGTGAGGTAGTTTTTCCAGACCTCTTACCTTTTACCTGCCTTTAATGCCACTACATTAGTTTTAGTGCCAAAGTCCTTGAATGCTTGTATGGCTAGGGAATTTAGACCCATCTCTTGCTGTTCTGTGGTATATAAAGCAATCACCAGGATTTTGGTCACTAGACTAGCTCAGTTCTTCCATGAAATGATCTCTGCTAGCCAATCTCCTTTTATCAAGGGTAAAAGCATCACTGATAATACTCTTTTAGCCCAAGAAATAGTTAAGGGCTATTCTAGAAGAAAGTTTTCTCTTAGATGTGCTATAAAGATTGATTTGCAGAAAGCATTCGATTCTATTAGCTGGAAGTTCCTGTTGAATATTCTTAGAGCTATGGGGTTTCCTGCAAGATTCTGTGGATGGATTGAGACTTGTGTGACCACCCCTAGATACTCAATTACTCTGAATGGCAGTCTTGTGGGGTATTTTAGGGTGCTAGAGGTGTTAGGCAGGGGGACCCATTGTCCCCTTACCTATTTGTAATTGTTATGAATGTTCTCTCCAGATTGCTTGATGTTGCTGCTAGGAATGGAATTTTCATATTCCATCCAAAATGTAAGAGAATCTCTCACACATCTCTGTTTTGCTGATGATCTGCTGCTATTTTGTCATGGGTCTTTTGATTCAGTGTTAGGAGTTAAAAACATCTTAGAAAAATTCTATCATCTGTCTGGGCTCAAGTTAAATGCCCTGAAAACTGAACTCTTTGTCTGTGGGATTAATAAAGGTGATTTAGAGCAGATTCAAGCAGTCATTGGGTTTAGATCTGGTGTTTTTCCTGTCAGGTATTTGGAGTTCCTCTAGTGACTCGTAAGCTCTCAAGAAGGACTGCACTGCTTTGATGGAGAAAATTAAAGATAAATTGAGGGTGTGGTCAAGCAGAAAATTGAGCTTTGGGGGGAGACTCCAACTTAGAAAAATTCTATCATCTGTCTGGCTTAAGTTAAATGCCCTGAAAACTGAACTCTTTGTCTGTGGGATTAATAGAGGTGATTTAGAGCAGATTCAAGCAGTCACTGGGTTTAGATCTGATGTTCTTTCTGTCAGGTATTTGGGAGTTCCTCTAGTGACTCGTAAGCTCTCAAGGAAGGACTGCACTGCTTTGATGGAGAAAATTAAAGATAAATTGAGGGTGTGGTCGAGCAGGAAATTGAGCTTTGGGGGGAGACTCCAACTTATTAAAGCTGTCCTTTTTAGTATCTTCAATTACTGGAGTATGCAGTTGGTTTTGCCTAAGGGTGTAATTCAGGACATTGAGATGATGTGCATGAGGTACTTTTGGAAGGGTAATGACTCCCCTGCTCGAGGTGCAAGGGTCAGTTGATGCCATATTTGTTCTATTAAATCTGAAGGGGCTTGGGGTTACAAAGTTTGATTGGATGGAATAAAACCTGTTGTTTTATGCTTGTTAGAAATATTTTGGCTGGTGAGGGATCATTATGGGTTGCTTGGATTAAAGCGTATTGCTTTAAACTTGATGATTACTGGAATGTTGAAAATAAATCCCACTTTAGCTGGATTCTCATGAAGTTGATCAATCTGCGTGAGGAAGCCAGAGGTTTATTTGCTGCTTCAGGTAGCTGGTCATAAATTAGGGGAAGCTGGATTTGGAACAACATTCGGGACATGAAAAACAAAGTTGCTTGTCATAAAGTTGTTTGGTTCCCTGCTCATATCCCTAAGTTTTCTTTGATTGCGTGATGGTCATCCTTGATAGGTTACCTACCAGGGAGAGACTTTGTAGCTTTGCTATGGTGACTGATGCAAGCTGTGGACTATGTGATACTGGTCTGGAATCGAGGAATCATCTTTACATGGACTGTATTTTTTCTCGGGGGGTTTGGAACGCTATACTGCAGTTTTGTGGGCTGCAAATTCAATGGCCTAGATGGGATCATATGCTTGACTGGCTGGTCAGGAATCTGAAGGACAAATCCTGTTAGTGCACATCCTTAAACTTTCATGGACTGGTTTTGTATACTTTATTTGGGAGGAGCGCAATCGCAAATATTTTAGAAGAGTGATGCGCTCGATAGATACTATTGTAAATACCATTAAAGAAGATGTTATAATCAAGTTACATAGAAATTACATGAATAGGCTAGATTGTGTCAATAGACATTATGCATTGATTGTGGTCTATTCTAGATGTTCTTTGTATTTTATAGCAGTTGTGCTTTGTTTAGATTAATACAAATTTGATTATCCAAAAAATAAATATTTATTTTTATATTATGCCTAAATATAAAACATTTTTTGTCCCTATAAATACCGGAACAAAGAAGCCAAGTACGAGCTAAGCTTCTCCATTATCATTCGCCGAAGCTGTTGAATTTCACCAAGGCTTCTGCCTTTTCCTTTCCCCTCGCTTTGTTTGGCGGTAGTAGATTTGGAGAGAAGGGAAAGAGCGGGCGTCAGAGAGTAAAAAACCAAATTTGTTTCAGATGGACACGTATTCTGTTCATCTAGCGATGGCGGCCCTAGTCGGAGCTTCGCTGGTGGCAGTGTCGGCGTATTATATACATAGGAAAACCTTGAATCAGTTGCTGGAGTTGGCAAAGACGGTGGAGAGGGAGAGAGAGGTCATTTCGGAGGGAGATTCGCCGCAACACTCCCGGAAACGGCGCGTCCAGCACCATCGCCAGAACGGGAACGGATACTACCGCCGCGGCTCGGCGTCTTTGCCGGATGTTACTGTAATATGCGGCGGGATTGACGGAGAAGAGAAACGCAACGGCCCTATCCATGTTGACGGGATTCCCGCCGGTTTGCTGCGGCTCCATACTCTCCATGGAGGTAAGCTTGTGATTCGAAATCAAGAGCTTTAATGAGTTATCGAATGATTTTAAGTGTAAATAAAGCAAATAGTCTTTTGCGTTGTTAAATGAAATTTTGCACATTGCAGAATTAAGTCATCAGCAGCTTAGAAAGTTGTTTTTCTTTGTATATATTCCATCTTTTTTTTACTTTTTTGACAAGACACTGGAACTTATCATCAGACTGATTTTTGTTTACTTTCAATGGAGGAAAAGGGGAAATAGATTTAGAACTACAAATCAAAAGATAAGACTCCAATTTGAAACTTACTTTAGTACTTTCTGTACGGAAGTGTTTCAAGGAAGATCAAAATTTTGCTGAACTTTTGGAATCTAAATTGTTCAAAATCATGATATGTGAATATCACATCGAGCACTAAAAACTGAAATGAAAAACTATCGAGCTATAGTTTAGTGGTTGAGTAATTATTTTGGCTTCAGGGAAATCTGGGGGCCATGGAACTCCGGTAAAGAGATCTGCTAGTCTTCTCCGACCTACTTCTCCAAAGTCCCCTAGTGCAAGTGCCTTTGACAGCATAGAAGGGTCGGACGATGAAGATAATATCACCGACAATTCTAATTTAGACACTACTTATCTGCATACTAATGGAAATGCTGTGAGTAAACTTTCTTCCCTTTTCCAAGTTGCTTCTGCTACGCTCTTATAGTTTGTTGGAAATTTGATCGAACTATTTACTTAAATCTCACATGTGTAGGGCCCAAATTTGCCTGCCCATGTTAATGCTAACGGAGAAGAAATCCAGATAGCTGCTTCAAGTATGATTAGGACCCATAGTATATCTGGTGACCTACATGGCGTTCCACCTGATCCTATTGCAGCTGATATCCTAAGTAAAGAGCCAGAGCACGAAACTTTTGCACGACTTAGAATTTCCCCTTCTGGTATTGTCTCTCTAATATATGCAACTATAGGTTTTTATAATGGGTCTGCATCATAATGTTTAATTTTGCTTCACACCCTGCTTTCACCATTGCTTGTGTCCTGATGCTTAAATCATGTGTGCATTTAACAATTTATTTAACTGAGAATTCTAGCCTTCAAAATAAACCTGAAATCTGTTCCTGTATTATTTATTAGAACTTGCTTAGCTTTGTTTTAGAAAATAGAAGTTATTAAAAGGATTTTTAGTGCTTGACAATAGCCCTTAGGTAATGTATTTGTTTATTCCCCTGTTTGAAAGATTGCAAGTTCCCATCTTTAAGTTTTAAGGTTTATGATGTCAGGTTTTATGAGTACAATTTGCCAATCTTGTTTTGTAATTTTTTGTATTCTACCACCAGAGATACCGTCACCGGATGAAGTTGAGGTCTATGTAGTTCTGCAAGAATGCCTAGAAATGCGGAAACGATATGTGTTCAAGGAGGCGGTTGCTCCTTGGGAGAAAGAAGTTATATCAGACCCAAGCACACCAAAACCTAATCAGGATCCCTTTTATTATGCACCTGAAGGAAAATCTGATGTAACTTCACACTCTTGATCTTAGATTCTATACCTCAAGTCACTTGCATTTGTCCTCATTCTTCCTTAGGGTTGTAAATCCGCCTACCCTTTTTTGCAGCATTATTTTGAGATGCAAGATGGAGTAATACATGTCTATGACAAGAAAGACTGTACTTGTTAAGAGACCTTATACTTTTTTTTGAGGAATAAGAGACCTTATCCTTTCTTATTTGTGATGATCTGAACTGCTATCTCGTTTAATAATTTATGTTCTTTTCTCCTTCAGCAAGAAGGGAGCTCTTTCCTGTAACTGATGCAACAACCTTTTTCACTGACTTACATCACATTCTTCGCGTTATAGCGGCTGGCAATATCAGAACTTTATGTCATCACCGTGTAAATCTTCTAGAACAAGTGTTTGCCTTGCCCTGCTTACGAAGTGCGTACTAATTTTGTAATTTCTTATATTCAATCATTAAAAATACTTTTTCCATTTTGTGTTCATTCAGAAATTCAATCTTCATTTGATGCTTAATGCGGATAAAGAATTTCTGGCTCAAAAAAGTGCACCGCATAGGGACTTCTATAATGTGAGGAAAGTTGATACACACGTTCATCACTCAGCGTGCATGAACCAGAAACACCTCTTGAGGTTTATAAAGTCAAAGTTGAGGAAGGAGCCAGATGAGGTAAGTTTCATTCTTGTTTTATTCCTTTGGTGTGCTTTAAAGGTGGCCTTAAAATTCCTGTTCACCTTTGACAACTGAATTCTTCCAAGTTAAAGCATTCGTGATTTGGAAATACTTCATTCCTAAGGGGGCCTTAGGTGCTATGTAAATGTGTATAGAGTGTTTTTGTCCTCTTCCGGCAAACTGTGATCCTTTTCGTTATACCCTTTATCCGATGTGGAAGTTGCAGACAAGTTCATTTGTTTGGTTTAACCAAATTATAATGGCATATGTGATTAGGAATAGCTTAATTGCTTTCGTGCAAAAGATGTGTGGAAGTGGTGCTTGTGACCCCCCCCCCCCAAAAAAAAGGAAAAGTTGTTCACTAGATTCTTTGTTCAGGTTTTAATATTTCGGGATGGGACATATTTTACCTTGAAAGAAGTTTTTAAGAGCTTGGATTTGACTGGGTAATAGTCTCTTTTTACCTTCTGTTTTTTGCTTAAAAAAGAGGAGTGAGAGTGATGCAACTAATTAGGATTCCTTTTTTGGTTTCAGATGGACACGTATTGGGTCGAGTTCGGGTTTAGGGTAAAAAATATCCGACCTGAAAATATACATAATTTTACCTTATATAATTAGGAATAATTACAATAATACCCCTCTATATATATTTTTTTTCAATTAAGATTGTTTTTATTGAATAAAAATAATTTTTTTATTATTTCGGGTCGGGTCGAATTTCTAATTCATATATTCGGGTCGGGTGAAACTTTATTTTGTTCGGGTCGGGTCGAGGTTTTTAAGTGATATTCGGATCGAGTCGGGTCGGGTTTTTTTAAGTGTGATATTCGGGTCGGGTTTAGGGTGAAAAAACCGGACCCGACCCGAAAAAAATATATAATTTTACCTTATATATTTAGGAATAATTACAATAATACCCCTCTATATATAATTTTTTCAATTAAGTCAATGTTTTTATTGAATAAAAATAATTTTTTTATTATTTCGTATCGGGTCGGGTTTCTAATCCATATATTGAATAAAAATAGTTTTTGGTATATTTTTTAGTAACTAATTAACATACTCTTATTGGAATGTATCGAAATATTGCTCTATCTTTTGGTAACTTATTAACATATTTTGATTGCGATGATTTTAACTTATGATGTTTATTAGCATGATTTTTATAATTTATTGAAATGAATAATCAATCAATAAAATGAAAATTTAATATTTTTTAATTTTTTATAATATATTACTACATGTAAGTTGTAAAACAAACTAAAATAAAGCAAAAAAACAAGAAGGGCAATTCTATCATTTTATATTACTGAAATCAAATTCATCTGACATGTCTGCGAACCAAACAGAATATGAAATTGGATTTCAATTCCATTTCCTACCAACAAAACAGAATGTGGAATTGGATTCCAATTCTTGACAAATTTCAATTCCTTTACAGATTCCAATTCCCTCAAAACATTCCAACGAACCAAACGCCACTTAAATAATCCTTGCGGTCAAAGTAGGCTCAGGGAGATTTTCCTCAAGCAGGACAATCTTATCCATGGTATATTCTTTATATTTCCTTGATTTTGGGGACATAGGACTATTGTGTCGACTGCCGAGATCACATTGAAAGAAACAGTCAATCTATATAAATTTGCAATTGCTAGTGTTTCTTTGATATTTGAAATATATAAGATTCAGATTTGGTGCTGGATTTAATATGCTACTGTCCTTCCAATCTTTTATTTGAATGAACCATCAGTGTCCCAATTTCATATTCACACATTGTTATGCATTATAGGTTACTTTTCCGATTCTTTTTCTATAAACATGATTCCATGTCTTTGCATATTTTATTGATTCATTGTTCTGAAAGAGTCTTTTCCTTTCTGTGTTTGTTAATTTGAAATTACAGACTGACTATTGCATCTTGCGCAGGTCGATTCCTTGGTGAGGTGACAAAGCAAGTGTTTTCTGATCTTGCTGCAAGCAAATATCAGGTATTTCCCTTATTCTGCACAAATTCATTTTATCTCTAAGATCAAATTCTGCTCTGGCTCCTCAGACCATGAGGCCGAATTAGCACTTGAGTAAAATCGTCATATGTTGGATGATTCTTTTATAAATTTGCTTAATTCTGTGAGGAGCTATTTGTAATCTATGATCCACATTATGGATTTCTAATGTTTGCTTTTAATGATATGCATCAGTTACTCCCTCTCTTTTAACACGCCCAACCATGATTGCTGTATTTTTTCATTGTTTTGATGTTCAACTTGATTGCTGCAGATTGCTGAATACAGAATATCAATATATGGTAGGAAGAAAAGTGAGTGGGACCAACTGGCTAGTTGGATTGTTAACAATGAATTGTACAGTGAGAATGTTGTTTGGTTAATTCAGGTGCTAATGATCTACTCAAAATCTCATTACCTAGCCCTAGCTTCTTCTTTCCCGTATCTTGTGAAGCTTAGATAAAACATGAAAGTGACACGAGAGGAAACTATTGAATTCTGGCTGGGCAATGTGACATTTGATCTTTTTTATTTTTTGCTTCAGATCCCTCGACTCTACAATGTTTACAAAGAGATGGGAATCGTTACCTCGTTTCAGAACATTCTCGACAACATCTTTATACCTCTGTTTGAGGTTACTGTGGATCCAGATTCACATCCTCAATTACATGTTTTCTTGAAACAGGTCTCGTATATTTTATTCTTAACTCTTCATTCCCCCCCCCAATGTTGCAATGCTTTGGCGTAGATTGCATTTCGCCTCGGCTTGCATTGTTTGTCGTGACAATTGTTTCTTGTCGGAAATTCAGGTTGTAGGGCTGGATTTGGTAGATGATGAGAGTAAGCCTGAAAGACGCCCCACCAAACACATGCCAACACCAGATCAATGGACTAACGTATTTAACCCTGCATTCTCCTACTATGCCTATTATTGCTATGCGAACCTCTACACCTTAAACAAGGTATGTATGATAGAAGTTGATACATTTTCGTCGTTACTCGATTTGGAGATCTTTGTTGTCTTTATAGTTCCAAATTACCTGTGTCTAATTATATAAATGACTTTTGAGAATGGTTGCTTCTTTTCTTTGCATCGACTTTGATGCTTATTTCTTCACAAAAAACTAGCTTCTCTCTCAATCTTCTTTAATTATGGCCTTCTTTAAATCCGCAATGGTTTCAACCACTTATACCAATGCTGAACTGTGTGGCATGATTTTTCCAGCTTCGTGAATCCAAGGGTATGACGACCATCAAATTCCGACCGCATTCCGGGGAGGTACTTCTGAAAGTTACATTCCGCTTTTATGAATATTTTGCTTTAATGTGTCCCTCATATTTATTGTATTTTTCAGGCTGGTGACATTGACCACCTTGCAGCAACATTTCAAACTGCTCAGAATATTGCACATGGAATCAATCTTAAGAAATCTCCAGTTCTACAGTATATTTATTATTTGTCACAGGTAAAGAACAAAGGAAACATCAGAATAAATCAGTTAACCGATGAGCATGGAATTTCTAACTGTTGTCACGGATTTACCAGATTGGGTTGGCTATGTCTCCCCTGAGCAACAATTCCTTGTTTCTGGACTATCATCGGAATCCTTTTCCGATGTTTTTCCTACGTGGTCTGAATGTTTCCTTATCCACGGATGATCCACTTCAAATATACTTAACAAAGGAACCTTTGGTGGAAGAGTACATCATAGCTGCTTCTGTAATCTCTCTCTCTCCTGTTAAGCAAGAATATATATATGCTTTATCTAATGTTCAAGTAAATAAACAGCCTCTGAATTGCAGGTATGGAAGCTGAGTTCATGCGATCTTTGTGAGATTGCTCGTAATTCAGTCTACAAGTCTGGTTTTTCACATGCTTTGAAGGTACATGATCTTCAATATTTTGCTGACCTCTCTTCGAAATGATTGGATCATTGAAAATTAGTTACATTTTCTTTTTCAGTCGCACTGGATTGGAACCGAGTACTACAAGAGAGGACCGAATGGAAACAGTATCCACATGACAAATGTTCCTCATATCCGGCTCGAGTTCCGTGACAGGGTAAGACCTTGACTGTAAATATAGTGCATGAATGTTTTTCTTGTTTATGCATCAAATCCTATAGGGACTACAACAACATTAATTCCTTTACCCCAATTTGTAGTTTCCTTCTTTTAAACCAATCCTACTATCTGGTGTGTAATTAAGCATATTTCAACATCGTCTACATCATCATTTTCTGCAGATCTGGAGAGAGGAGATGCAGCTGGTGTACCTAGGCAAGGCCATTATCCCCGAGGAAGTAGACAAGTAATGTGCAACATACTGCACGATCCATTCTTTAACATTACACGCCGTATACGTTTGGGAGGTTGCCATCCGATTCTCTTTTGATTTTGTCGTCTGTTCTATGAAGTGCACTAATTTGTACGCGGTAATAAGGGTTCGAGTCTCCCGAGGCGCATCTAAGGGTGACAAAACCTTGCAGGACCTCAAGTGTCTGCCTCTTAGGTTCAAATGAATCCGGAGGTCGGAACTTAACACACCTATGAGTAATAGAAATATGGGATTCTGTGGAAATGGTGATCAAAATGGCAAACTTGATGAATTGTGGGGGAAGCATGTGCTATTACTATTAGTATTACCAGATTGGCAAGAGTGGAAGTCTGCTCTCTTCCCTTGTTTTGCATTATAAATTTTGACCCGACTTATAGTATAAATGTTATAGAAATTATAATAATTTATGAAATTAATGTTTTTGAAATTTTATTTGACTTGTACAATTTATATACAAATTAATTTCATCAATAAATAAATATATATGAAAACGAAAAGAATTTAATTCCACAAACTGTGTTCAAATGGTATCATGTTTTCTTTTTATCTTGGTGTTTAAGCGCCAAGGTGCAAAAAGTCTTTGGAGCCTAGCGTAAACATAATTACACAAACTTGGATGATAATAATTATTTTTATTACTAAAACTACTCAATGGTTCAATTAAAATTTTTCTTATAATTAGAGTTTAAACACTAAATTAGATATTAGTTTTTATGTTTATATGCCACATCATCAATTTAATTGGGTTAATGGAAGAGTGACTATTTTGTAAATTATTGATAATTGTAATTGTAGTGTAATATTTAAAATGCTAATGGCCAATGAACACCTATTAAAATGTTAGTGACAGTAAGTATAGTTTACCCTTAAAAGTCAGTATAAAGAAAGTGATAAATCCTAGCTAGTGATTTCCAGCCATCATCAAAGGATTCAACGTAAACAGAGTTCTCTTTCCTGTTCTTTAAAGCAGTTGTTGCTCCTTCTGTGACTGTTGGCTTAGAACTAGATGCATGCATCAGTCTTTATAGAGATGTGAGTTGGTTCCTCGTCTGATGCAATGTATTTGATCTTGGTGTTAAATGCAACACATCTATTCGCGCATTACTACATTATAATTGTTAGTTTGGTCATTCTTCAGTGTTGTTCTCTGTTGTTTAATTTATCTTTTTTTTTTATCCCTTTTCAATTCTTCTATCTTCCTTTCCTTACTCTCTATCCATACATTCTCCCATAGAACTTTTGCGGTGACCCCTTCTTTCACCTGAAGGTGTCGTTTTGCACGTCAAAAATAAATTCCTTTTCTTGAATAAAATAAAGAAATTAAATATAGTATAGGGAAGTAAGGGTTGATCTCACAAGGACTAAGGAAATCGATAAAATTCTTGGCTTTTGATTCTGATCTTGGCATGAATTTAGAAATAAATAAATGGGGGTTTGTAGTTAAAGAATAAAAACAAGGAAAAAAAGAAGATTTAAAGGAAAAAAGGGAAGTTAGATAAAGGAAGGTGAAAACTCAATTGATTAAATTAGCATTAGGCATTCGCTCTGACTCAAATTCTTCAGATCATCGAAATAGATTTATCCTTCGGGATTCACATCGGTTACTTTATCTACAAGGATAAATCATTGCGACTAACTTGTATATCGAATACCAAGTGCTACTCTTAGATCTCAGATTTGGAAATTGATCTAATCAACATTAGTTGTTGTAGATCAAGAACTGCTTAAGCGCATAAAAACCGATTTGGATAGTTGTTTCCATACAATCCGTTTTCAATCTCAATTCCCACTTAGAACCAATCTGCTAGTTATGTTCCCAAGAAGTTCATTTGCTATCAATTAGCCAATCCTTCCTCCCACATGTTTAATTGCAACAACATTCCGACCATCGACTATCTTTGGTTTTGAAAAATTGTTTTGATTTGAAATAAGTGCAAAAGAAATTGAGAAATGTATCCGAAGTTACTTAGGTGCTTTTCAATTCTCACATTAGAATTGAGTTATCGCTTAGCCCTCGGCTTAGAAGAAAAGTAACTAAGCATGACCAAAGTCATACTTAGCGTTTTAAAAACAAAGCTTAAAAGAAAATACCAAAGAAAGAAATGTTTCATTATTGAATGAATGATGAAAAAGGCTTACCCGAGGTGGGTATTTATAGCCTTCTAAAACCAGAAATACTAAAGATAATCCAAATTAAATTACAAAAGATAATTCTGAAAAATAATTTGAATTTAATTCTAAAAGATAAATCCTAAATCCTGAATTTGAATGTGCTTGAAATGCTCAGTCGTCCGTCATCTTCTAGAAGGTTGCTGACTGGGGGCTTTTGGAAGCTGCTAACGTGGTAGTGAGTCAGCGTTTCATGCCCACTATTCCAGAATTGATTCTAGAACAAAAAGTGTAGTTTTCAGGCCTTTTTAGTACATTTTCCAGCAATGATTGTCCTGCACAAAAAGCATGTAAAAACATCCAATTCAGTAGTAAACATGGACAAACAAATAACATTTAAGCACGAAAAGTAACACAAAATAAACACAGTCAAATTCCCCCTCACTTATCCGATGCTTGTCCTCAAGCATTTCTCAATCAACATATTAAATCCATAGGTTGCCATTCCCTAACTCATTTCATAATTCAATTGTTCCAACAAATCACAATTAAGCAAAGAATTGAAACTTAGAAAGCATTTCAAGCAAGTTGCAAAGCTAGGAAATAATCGAAACAAAACATTCCAATGGCTACTAATCTCATGATGCACAACTTGATTACCTCACAAAGGATTCACTCATTCGCTCAAAGTGTTTAAGGACAAGAAATGTTCAAGCCAAAGCAAGTCAATGCATAACTATAAGCTTGTAATGTGATATAATCTCTACCACTTAAAAACAAATTCAATGCAAGAGTCAAGAGGTCTTTAATCGGGTTGCAACGTGGCTAAGGTTTGGGTAGGGAAATAGGCCGAAAAGAAAGGTTTAAAATTGCCGAGACAAAGAGTCATAAAATTGAAACAAGCCACCAATAAGAATGAAGCACAAGGAAAAGAATTAAAAATAAAACAACCAAGTGATAATTGTTCAAATTAAGGGTAATTTTTTCTTATTTGTTATGTTGTTTGAACAAAAGGGGTGTTATTTTTTTCTTTTTTTAGGTCGAACAAAATTTCTAACAGTATTTTTTCACTGTTTTGACTGCTGTTTTTTGTGTGTGTGGTGATGAAAGTGAATGATCAAGGTCTCGAAAAGGATATGAAAATTGGAAAGATGAAAGAAAATGCTTCGGGTTTAATTTGATAAGGTAAAAATTAAAAAAAGGGAAAATCGACTCAAATTTGGTTCACTAAGGGATAAATTAAAGGGTAGGCTTTTTTATTGTGGTAAAGAAAATGGTTAATCATAATGCCTCTATCATCCAAAAGCATCGAATTCATTATACATGTAGCCTAAAAAAGAATCAAACCACAAGTTCTAGAATGCAAAAACAATGCTCGACACATACAAAGAAACAAATAGCAAGATTGAAACAAAGAATTCATGCTCATTAGGCTCGAATCTCACCAAAATAGGTTCAATGAATCAAGTAAATGCATCATTTCAACCAATAAACCATGGAATGTCAAAATTTCATGCAATTTACTAGCTAAATCAACACACTTTCATGCATCATTCATCAATTCAAAGCAAAATTAACAATCAAATTACTTAACAAATCAAGATAATGGGCAACCAATCGATGGAGAATATCAATATCAAAATATTCAATTTCGAGCATGCAACAATAGAGGAAAAATCTAAGATGCCATCCTCCCCTTCACTTAAGTCGTTTTGTCCCAAAACGTAAATAAAAATTAAAATACAAAGGAGAGAGAAAAGGAATACTCCCCGAGTCAGTTACGACTTTGTTTAGCGTGGCGAACTTTTTGTAGAGCAGAATTGTTGGGATTTTCGGAAGCTCGAATTGACAACCGAAACGTTTTGCAAAGAGGGGCCGGAATGGTTTTTGTAATAGGGAGTAAGGAGATTGAAAGATAAAGAATTGCACAGCGAATTATAGTGGTTCGACTTCTCAACCAAGTCTACATCCACTACCTTAGCTCCTCACTAAGGATTTTCCAACAAATTCACTAATTTGTTCTTTCTTTTTCAAGGACAAAGAGATAACCTTTACAACTCCCTTGTTTTTCATGGGTTAAACTAGAACCTTTCCCTAGCTTTTACGCGGGCATAGCTAGAACCTTTCCCCTTTACAAAGGATAAGAAATGTAAACAAGAAAATCTCTCTAAGGTAGGTGTTTACAAGAATTTAGCTCACAAGAACAAAAATTTACAAGAGAAAGATGAAATAAGAATGAAAAAACTCTTCTTTTGTGTTTGATTGCTTGGATAGTTGTTCTTTTTTTCCTTCAAGTGTCCTTAGCTTGTATTTATAGCTTGGAATGTGTTTGAAGTCGTATATAGCCGTTGGGGATGTTTTGGAGCTGTTTGAGGATGATTTTTCTACAATAATAGGTTGCCCATAACATGGTGCATCGGTACACTATCAAGGTGCATCGATACCCCTTCATTAAATTCAAATAAACTAGTCGTTACTAGTCGTTGCAGGCAGGTGCATGGATGCACACAGGGGGCATCGATGCACTAATTGCATTCGGTGTTTGAGTGCATGGATACACTTTGACACCCTTTAGCATTTTTGCTCAAATCCGAATTTAATGGACTTTGAATTACTTTTGAAACATTTTTAAAAACTTTGAATAAATTCAATTCAAGTCCAAAAATATTTTGCCTTTAAATTTGTTATATCGAAATATAATTCAACAAGAATGTCCTATCGAAAAGCTACCAGAAGATATTGATATTTTCTGCAAAACAAAATTCAAGACAAAGAAAATATTATTCCACAATTTTAATTTAAAGGAAGTAGAATCAAAGAAAGGAAAACAAGAAATCAGATGTTTAAAGCTTAAACTTTTTTCTTTTCTCCTATCTTTTTTTACTATGCGAACCAAAACTGTTTTTTATGCATAGTTCAAATTTTTTACATTTATTTCAAATATGCACTGCACTGTATTTTTCTGCACTGTTTGAACCAAATTTGCACTGTATTTTTACATTGTTCGAACAAAATCTACATTGCATTTTTGTACTGTTCAAACAGTGAAAATTTTGCTTTCTTTTTTCTGAATGATTCTTTGTCTGTTGTCGCATGATCTCTTCACGTCTCGAAATCATATTTTTTTTTCGATTCTTCGCTTTCGGTTCTGATGACTCTCGATTTCTCTC